CGTGTTTCTCCTGAAATGGAACGGCTGAGCAAGGGCCAGCACTGGGAAAGCACACCAAAACCAGAAAAACTCCAACAAAGCTACAGGACATCCCAGGCCTCGCATTTGGTTGGGTTACTTAGAAACAAGTGGTCTAAAATTGATAGTAATGGGGTGAAAAAACAATATATTGCCGGCTTAAGTGGTTCGCAGCTAACTGCTCTTCTTACTCCTTTGGGCAGGCCTTCGGCTTCATGACCAGAGTGGCTCTACAGGCAGAAAAACTGGATCACCACCCTGAATGGTTCAATGTGTACAGTAAGGTAAGAAGCGGGGATGGCAGGGCCAAACGGAGCTCTTTAGGGAGCAAAGCTCTTTTTTTGAGGTAGGAAATAGCACCAAGCCCTGTCCAGATCAATGGGAACTCTTCCCTTGGATGCTGTTCCCTTGGCTTATCGCAGAGAGCCAACAGCTATCACTTCCACATCCTTTTCTCTCCCTTTCTTCACCCACCCAGCTGAGCAGCAGCTGCCTGTAGGCCAGCACCAGGGCTGCTCTTTTAAATGAGTACGAGAAGTAGCAGCAAGGGCAAAAGTCTCTGAAGAAAAGAGTTGAAAAGCAGGCACAGCCAGCTGCTGCAACCAAGGCAAGGGTGGCAGTGACAGCTTGTGGCCAGGACAAGCTGTAGGAAGGAGAAAACCAGGCAAAGTGTCAGAACCTCACCCCCCCCCAGGAAATTTTTCTAGAAAGACTAGAGAAAATAACAGCACTACCTGCCTCATTGGCTGCAAACTGTCTGCAGCAGCGGGGAAACAGTTCCTGCTCTTTCTGCCAGCAACACTCAGTCAGTCTGTCTGTCTGGTTTAGGTTCACATCACCTTGAGCACCCACGAATGCGGAGGCTTATCGGAGCGAGACATCAACTTGGCCAGCTTCATCGAGCAGGTTGCAGCTTCTCTCTCCTGACTGGGGAGAGACACTTGAAGCCAAAAAAAAAAATAAATATCAACCTTGCTGCTGCCACAACCCGCATCTCACCTGAACGGCTGCACCTAGAGCCTTCCCTCCCTGCCAAGGTAGTTCCTGGATCCACACTAACACCATGCAAAAAGCTCAGATGGACGGAAGCTCTTCATGGGGTACCGTGCCTCTATGCAGCTCTGATCTTCTGGCTTCCGTTCTTAAAACGCTTCCACCTGTCAGCAAACTGAGCCTCTGGGGCTTTCAGCAAATGTGCCCTTTTACCAGGAGTCATGTTACACAATTACACAAAACCCAGTAAAGCTTTCCAGAGCCTGATCCCATCCAGCTGCTGTGTTACTGCTTCTTACCCACTGCAGTTTGCTTTCCCACCTAAAACGTGGTACGTGAACCCTGTGGTTTCTTCTCTATAACCATACCAGCAACCATGATGTGCAATTTGGTTATTACTGTAACCTCTCTCTAGCAGTATTATAAAAGCAGACATGTGATCTCACCCCTCTTGTAACCAGCTTTTAGTAGGATATCAACTAATAAATGTCTTGGTTAACCTGATGTCAGTTTGGAAGGAGGCCTCACTGTCAAAATTGCGCCAACAGCTTTTCCCAAGGCAGGTACTGGCCTGACTGCTCTCAAGGTGCTTCTGCCATGGAAAAGCTTCTCGGCGACGCAAAGCGGAGAAGTGGCACAGGCCTGCGCCTCAAAGCGAACGGGCTCTGAAAAAGAATGAGATTATCAAAGGCAGAGCAGATCAGAGAAAAAATCTGCTTCTGCTGAAATCAGAAGCGTACCCATAGCCAAGGCACAACCACAAGGCACAGAAGCAGCACAGCTGTGGGCCAGGGGCTGCTTACAGAGGGATACCTCCCCCAAAAGGGGTGATAGGTGGAGTTGGTGGTGTAAGATCTTCACTCCAGAAACAATTCAGGGAGTCTGTTGCCAAACCGCTGCGTTTTCAGTTGAGACAGGAACAAACTGCTGCAAAACCAATAGTGGTTGCTTTCAGCAAAACAGTCTGGGGGAGAAAGACTACAAACACCCAATTCCAGTCATCTTTTCTATTTTTTATAACTCTTTAAAGTTCTATACCGGATTGAGAGAAAATCCCTAGCTCTTAAACGAGAGAAAATCCTTAGCTCTTAAATGGCAGTTTTCAGCACCTTTAAAGATCCCATGCAAGCTGCCATAGACTGAGCTGTGCCTGAGCAAACACCAGGAGCAACAGGTCCCTGTTCATTCAAAGGAGCAGCCAAACAGACAAATAAGAGCTCAATGAGCCTAGAAAGCTAAATGCACCATTTTAATACAACCCAGGCCCATTTTCACCATCTCTTCAGCTATTTCCAGCTGCGGTTTTACAGTGGCAAATCAGAGCGATACAGAACACTGCCAGATGAACTCATCCCAGTTGTTCATTGAAAAGTCAACGTGTATTTATTGGGCAAGATTTTGTCATGTTGCACGCAACCCTTCCACTCCTCCCTCCTCCGAGTGATCAGAAAAGTGCAGATGAAATCCATGGCATGAAGACACACATCTCTTCTTGGTCCATCCCATTGGATATTCTCCAGTCTAGTACCTAAAAGCACGCAAATCCCATGGGAGTGCTTCGTACAAGCAACATATTTAGTGTCTCACTTGGGAAAACTGACAGTCAGAAATCTCGCGGGAATTCATGGTTCCAAAGATTCCTCCAGGTCCAAAGTACCGTCCAGTTCCAGATTGTACTCCAGTCCATAGAATTCCTCTTTTTTTGTTGTTTTTTAAATAATTATACAGCCTGTTAACCGCATCATTTTTCTAAGACCATTTGGCACGATAAAGGAGATGGAGATTACATGTTAAGAGGACAAGGATGAATAAAGACTACACACTGGTAAATTACAGCGGCCTATTCCCGACCAGAAGATTACATTTACAGTATAGAACAAATACACATAAAACATTTAAACCCACAAATATTACTAGCAAGTGAGGCCCAGAATAGAATAAATCGACTTAGAAATAACATCTTCAAATACATCCAAAAACGTGAAATGGAGCATTGATCTGTTAGATCTGTCCACTTCCTGGAGGAGAACACAACCAGGGAAGAGGAGGGAGTTTTTCTCTCCTTAACCCCACCCCAATCCAATCCTCCCCTCTTTTAAAGCAGAAACAAAACGAGTACCTCCTTTCTGACTTTTGTTTTAATCTTGGTTCAGAAGAGAACCATCACAGTAGCCAGACACTTAAGACTGTCTCCAAAGCACAGCAAACTCGGAAATGCAGCAACGGGCACGTCAGCAAGACGCTAAGAAAATAAATAGGTCCGACAGAGTTGCCAATACCATCAAGAGACCATCAGGTAATACAAACACGACTGTTTCAAAAGGGCTCAGAGACAGTCGCCAATTTAAGTGGAGGTGGCCAAAACACTTTTTGTCTCCTAGCACTAAGAATAAACCTGTTAACAAGCAAATACTCTTTCCACAAGTGCCAGGCCCAAGGCTGCATGGGTTTGTGCATGGCCGGCAAGTAACCTCTTCGTTCGGTGTCATCGCTGTGCGAGAGTGTGCTTCAGCTGTGGTAAGCCAGCGAGGGTCAGCTTCGGGCTGACAAGCCCACGAGAGCAGAGACAGAGGCCTCCAGGTGCCCTGCACAAGACTGCAGATGTGGCAGGAAGTCTTCTCCCAGCCAAGTGTTGACTGCCTGGGAAACTCTTGGTGGCATGCAAAAAGCCGAGAGGAAACCCAGGGGAAAGCCCTGCAGGAGGAACTCCACTGCTGTCAAATAACTGCAGAGATTCTAGCTTGTCCTTAAGGCCACCACTGCCTCACAGGTTGCATTAGGAAAACCCTCTCACCATGAAAATCAGTGGAGAAAAACAGGAAGGGCGAGCCACATGCCCAAGGCTTGAATACCTTCGGCTTGCTGCATCCTCTCAGAGCTATACCAGCATCTTCATAATACTGTGAAGGGACTTGGCTCAATACAACTCCTATTCTACCTTACAGGCAAGCATACTTTCTCTGAGGCCAGTCTGCCTCTGAGGTTGGGTTGTGTGTTTTTTTCAGTATAGTACCGTAAAGAAACAACCACGGCAAAGATTGTGGTCAACAGCTGAACCCTCCAAACCCCCCTGGCGTCCCACCAAAAAAAAAAGCCAGAGAAGTGTCAAGGCACAGTGGTGAATGCCCTTTTGAGAATGTGCCTTAAAGGAATCAGTGCAAAGAGTAGAGATTACGACTGTTACGAGAGTCACCTTTTTATACTAAAAGGTCAGGGTAAAAAAGGTCAGCTTTGGTGCCATCCGTTTGCGTGTGAAGTCCCCAGCCACGACAGGCACCAGGGCCCGACCGACTCGACTACAGCATCATGAGATAGTGCAAAACCTTCAAGTTACGAGCAGTGAGATTCGTCGTTTCGCACATCCCTCCAGAATTGTGCAAGGTACAATAAAAGCACTCTAGGTGGTAAATGTATGTCTTCTAGAAGAGGCAGGGAAGCAAAACAGTTACTACGTATCTAGGATTTTCAGTACCATCCAGTTCCTCTCCCTAAGTCACCCGCTTGGTTTCTATTTTTGCTGTTATCCAAACCAAGAGGTCCCAGGAAAGGATTTAGTGTTGAGGCTTTTTTTCCCCCCCTCAGCAGATATTGATTGCAGTCTCACCAAGATCTCCAGAGGGGATTTCAAAAAAAAAAAAAAGAGTATGTGACCATCTTTCCTTTGCCAAGTTATGAGCTCTGCATCAGACATAGGGCTCCCAGCACAGTCTGTTAAATGCAGTAGCTTGGAGGAATACTCACATTTATTTTCTACCTTCAACTTCTGAGAAGGTTGAAGCTTTGGAACACAACACGAAAACTCAAATGGAACACTCGCTTGGACACCGGTTGAGGACCAGGTCTAAGGAGGAGAAACAGCAAGGAATGAAGTGACACGCGGAATACCTGAGGAATTTGGTGTTGTGGAATGGACATTCGATTCACCATCAAAAGTCACGACGAAAACAGGCAAGGGAAGGGAAGAAAAGCCCTAAAACTCAAGTTGGGCATGAAACTAACACAGATTTCAGAAGACAAAGATAGGGAAGGAAGTTTTCAAAATTCAGCCACCATCAGACCTGCAACTGTTGGAACTAAGGCTTACTGCAATCTCTTCCCCTGGGAAACCTTTAGAACCACCCGAGTGCCAGCTGGCAAGGCACCGATGGTTGCACTGCAGTCAGCGGTGGCCAGGAGAGCCGTTCATGTGCGTTTCACTGCAAGGAACATCCGTGCTGTAGAGGCCGTCCAAGTACGCCTGAGAAATCTCCGCTACCAAGCTCCTGTCTGGTACGGACTGCGCCATTCCGTAGATGGCTCCCTAAGCAGGGGAGAGGAGGTCGTTACACGAGATCGTTAACGCCATCAGAGAAACGTGCTCACCCCAAACACAGCCTCGCTACACGCTGGCCTCCTTACCATGCCTGTGGTCTTGGCGTTGAGGTCCTTCATGATATCCTCAATGCTGTCTTTGACATCTTTCAGGAACTGTTCAGCAACGCCGGGCTTCGTGTGCAACTGCGTGATGCAGAGATGAATGCTGGGCAGGCAGGGGAGAGGGGAGAGTTGAATCAGCTCAAGAACGTTACGCTTCTACATTTACTGAGCAACTGACAGCAATTCAGTCCTTCCCCCGCCACTGACAACCATTTATCTCCTTAAAACAGCATTTCAGCAGTATAATGGGAGAAGACGATCCACGCCCTTCCGATCAGAGGTAATCCCCACAAAACACTCACTAGAACCGAGCTGTGGAGAGCTCAACTCTTTTTTGCAAAGTGGCAAAATAAATAAATAACACAAACCCTCGGTTAACTAACATGAGATGAAAGAGATGGCTATTTCTATTTTTCTGCTTGGATCCAACAGAGGTGATCAGAAAGGGACGCTCAGGTGCGTCCTCTGCCAGGCTCCTTAAAATTAGTATTGTCTTATCCTTACTACAGTAACTACTATGTATCAGCAATTACCAAAGTAATTCCTTCTCTGCAGAGGAAAAGACTGAATAGAAGTTATCAGGTGGGGACAAGGCCACTCAGCAAAACATGAGAGCGACACGGTTTGAAGAGGACCACCTCGCAGACCCTGGCTATGCGCAGCACTCTGTTCGTCTCCACAAACTCACCTTGATGGGAACTGTAGGACGTTTAAGTTCCATCCCTTTGCAGCTAAGAAATTAGATAATCGATAAATGTCGAAAGTGTTGGAGCCAATGGAGAGGACAGATACCTCTGGTTTCCCAAAAATGAAGATGCTGTCAATTTTTCTCAACCTTGAAAAAGAAAAAAAGAGGAAAGAAGTGACTGGCCAGGGTTATACAGGCCAGATAATCTGTCAATCTATCCAGAGCCTTAAAGGAAAAGCTACAGAAAGGAACTGACAACAGCACATTCCTACCAAAAAAAAAACCATGCAACCAGCCCAGCCCACTGGGACTTGCAAGAGAACTTGGGTCATTAACAGTCCTGAAATCAAGTAAAGTCAGGAAGAAATGGAAAAGAGGAAAGACAAAGAGTGAAGGGAAGACAGAGTAGCAGAGAAAATCAGCTTAACAGCTCACACAGCAACACAAGCACTCCAACAAGAGAGAGTATAACCCTTCTTTTGTCATCTTAAGTCCTTCCAGATTCCCCCTCAGTCCCCTGTGGCTGAGGGGGAAGAAAACCTTGAAGCAATGTCAGCTAAATTAAGGTGCCTGCACCCCTCCTCTCTGCGCCTCTCAGCCACGTGGCACACAGCAGCACCTGGGCAAACACAAAAACATCTTCTCCCATAACTGCCCAGCAGATCCCCTCCCCAAAGGTTAACATGTCGTAGCCTCTCAAGGGAAAAATGAAGAAGTTGCAAAAGAAACTTTTGAGAGGAGCCCAGAACAGGGTCAGAGAGTACAATTGAAACACTAAGGGCACGCACATACTCTGATTCGAGGAAACGAGCTGTTTTTATGATCCTCTTCGTAGCCTCAACGTAGCCCGATTCTCCCACGTGCATCAGAGTTGCCCAGCATGCAGCTATGATTCCACCAGGCCTCGAGCCTGCCACAGAGGGGGAGGCATATATGCCCCCTTGCCAGTCGGGTGCTATAAAGAACTGGTAACTCCTGTACTTCTTGTCGCTGTACAGCACCACCGAGGAACCCTTGGGAGCATAGCCGTACTGCAAGGGGGCACAGAAAGCATTAGAAAGCGGCAAGAGGGCGCAGGAAGGTATTCAAGCACTCGCTGTATGTGGTCCCCAAGCTCCCGTTTGGCTGCACATCAGTGCATCGCACAGAGGATCCAAACCAAGCAGCCCCTGCCCTTCCCCGCGCTCACCCAAAGAGAGGAAATGCCCGAAAGCAGGGATGACATCAGGAAACGCTCCCCAAAAACAAAAGCGACTTTCTCCTCCCTGTTTCTTACCTTGTGGGTATCTGCAGAAATGCTGGTGACGCCTTTTACGCGGAAGTCGAATGGCCGCTTTAGAGGAAACCCGGCTTTGTCCATGAAAGGGATCAGAAAACCACCTAGGCAGGCATCGACGTGGAAGGGGATTTTGTACTTCACCGCAAGCTGCATGAGAACGAGAGATTCTGCTGAGCAACACGCAAGCGGGCAAGAAAATCACACGTGGTTGAGGCACCCAAGCTCCAGTTGCCAAAAGGTGCTTTGCATTTCATGATTAAGTGTTTCCTCAACCCTTTTGGCACATCGTGCAACTCTCAAGCCATTGGGGATAGGAAATCTATCTATGGCTACATGTGTGATGCCTTATCCTGCCTTCTACATATGTGAAGGTTGCCAGTGAGAGGAAAAAAAAAAAACAAAAATCAAAAGCCCATCACGTTTTGGCAGGTTGCTCTATTTGCCAAAGAGCTGTGACAATGTGGTGTGAAAGCAGTAGGAGCAATAAAGCGTTTAAGGGTGTGACCGAAATGAAAAGAAGGTCAGAGGGCCTGGCTGGTTACGTACAAAATAAACAAGTGGAGCACAGAGAGAAGAATCAAGAGGCATGTTTGAAAAATAAGATGCCAGCCCTTTGACTCCTACTCCCTCCACACATTCCTCAGACTTCTGCACCAAGTTTGCTACAACCAGCAGGTCCTAAATCAAAGCTTTTTACCAGGCAGATTGTTTTGCTGTTATTTCCTTGCAGGTATCAAAGAATGAGCCCTTCCGGTTGGATTCGCAGCGGGTGCAGCAGAGCTCTAAGTCACATGCACGATACACACCTTCAGTTACAGTAGAAATTCGTGGCACAAACTTGAGAGCTGAGAGACAAAGCACGCACAAAAGACTTGCTGCTCTGCCTCGCTGTGACACATCGTGTGCACCAGCTTAAGTCCAAAATCCAGCCCCGTGCAAACAATTTTATGTCAAACTTCTGTTATTTAAAGTCCACTTTCTCACGGTAGTGAGAGAGTACAAAAAAAAAAAAAAAAAAGTCCTATATTACTTCCAAATTGCATCCTATATATGCTGCTGTTGGTTAACACCCAATTTGAGGGTAGTAACACCCTCCCAACCAGTCTGATCCTCCCACCAGATTCACTGGTCGGCATCCTGAAACCCTTCCACTCCTCTTGCACAGAAGGACACATGGGTTTTACTGCTACAGCTCCCAGAAATTCCAGGACCCTCCCTACCTCTGCCACTTCTTCAATTGGGTCCATAATTCCATGGGGGAACTGGGGAGCCGAACAGACCAGCATGGCTGTGTTCTTCGAGATAGCTCTCCTCATTGCCTGAAGATTTAAAGAGAGAAGATGCTCACATTCCATTTATCAAGTGCCATCCTGCCAAAAAAGATAAAAAGGGAAAACATGCAGCATCTGGTCTTTAAAACCAACACGCAAAAGCCTAAACAGGAAGCAAAGCAATGAGCTCCAAGCAACAGAAGACATCAACCAAGTCATTTAACTCATCCACTTAGAAGTCCTAGAAAGCTTTTGTTCACTCTCATCTGAAAACTCATCTCTTTCTGAAACACATAAATTATTTGATACTAAATTCATCATGGGATGAGGGGAAGGCTTACATTCTCATTACTTGAAACCAAACCTTATCTGCAATGACAGTACTCACTCCTGCCGTTTTCCCTTGTTTTCAGGAAGCATTCAACCCTATCCACTGATTCGCTACCTGGATCAGTAGATTTCAGGCTATTGCTGTACAGTGTTAATTTCCCCACAGAAAGTGCTGCCTAAACTGATACCTGAACATCCACTTCCATAGCCTTGGTCAAGGGTATGTGAATCAACTTCAGTCCAAAATAGTGTGCTGCCTTGTCAAACGCTGCGTGAGCACTCACTGGGACCAACCTAGAAAAGTAAGGGATTGCGTGCGTCAAGCCAGGCAGTGCCAAAGCCTTATAAGAGAGGAAAGAGAAGGAAAAAAAATAAACATAAAACATTCAACCCGTTGATACTTCTGTGTGACAGACAGATCACAAACAGGCCAACGACATGTTTCAACTAGCCAAAAATCATACAGGCCAAGTTAAAAAAAAAAAAAAAAAAAAGCTGGGGGAAATACTCTCAGGGACAGAATAGAGGCCACATGTTTTTCTGAACTAAAATGATGGACACTCAATCTTTAACCCAGAGAAAAGCTACTGAAGTCATTCGATCCCACCATGTGGCCTTCTGTGAAGCAGGAACCAGAATTCCCAAGACAGCTCATTTCTTGCCATGTCAAACAATATTGTACCTAACAGCTGCCTTCCAATACCTGAAGGGAACCTACAGGGAGGCTGGGGAGGGACTTTTGACAAGAGTGTCCAGCGATAGGACAAGGGGAAATGGGTTTACGCTGAAGGAGAATAGATTTAGATTGGATCTTAGGAAGAAATTCTTCAGTATGAGGGTGGCAAGACTTTGGAATAAATTGCCCAGAGACATTGCGGCTGCCCCCTCCCTGGAGGTGTTCAAGGCCAGGTTGGACGGAGCCTTGAGTAGCCTGATCTAGTTGAGAGGCGTCCCTGCCCATGACAGGGAGGTTGGACTAGATGATCTCTAAGGTCCCTTCCAGCCTAGGCCAGTCTAGGATTCTATGATCTCCAGCCAGCCACCCTCCCTAAGAGGGGAGGTACGAGACAATACAAAAGGGAAGGAGCAACATAAACGCATCAAATGAACATAACATTCACTGTCTTCCATCTCGAACGACAGTGGCTGAAAAGTCTTAATTAACCTTGTTTTCTGAGCCATCATGTCTTTATCAAGGCCTTTAACAGCAGTCAAAAATGTTAGAGGGAAGAAAAGAACCACAGGAACTCAGCAGAAGATGAACACCACAGTGTTTCATCTCTTTTTACATTTTCCCCTCGTAAGCAATTAACGAGAGAAATATTTTTGACACGTCGCCTTGAAAAAAGAAGCATGGTAGAGAGAGCAAATCCTCTATTAGCAGTGTAATGATTAGCACAACTGCTCATTTCAGCTCCAGCCAGCTGAAATGTTTTAGTTTTAGTCCTCGAGTTTTCAGGCTAAACCCTCTTTGATCTGAATAAATCAAAACCCTTAAACACTTCAAAGGACCTGCCAATCTCTGCCCAAGAGGGGCCCAAAGCTGACACAAGGAGGCTCTGCCTGCAGCAGCACGCAGGTATTGCCAAAATACATCTGCACAGCTCAGCTACCCCACTACCCCAGCCCTGCTTAAAGGCTCCCATGCTTCTGCATCGCTGCTTTCAACTCAGGTTTCTCCTTCAGACAGTTGGACAAAGGAGGAGGTGGTAACGGGCTCCAAAATGAAGGACTGTTGAAGTCTAGCAGCCTCCTCAACTCAGAGGAACAGTAAACCCTGTAAGTGCCTCAAAGCAAAAAGCAAGCCGCAGAGGTATTGCTCACATTTCTGGCTGTTTGATGCCTCTCTCATAAGCCAGGTCTCGGTACGCCTTGCAGGCCATCAGAATGCTCTCAGTGCCTCCAGACGTCATCTGTCGGGAAGAAGCAGGAAAAACAAGTGCTTACACAGGTGTTGCAGAAGAGAAAAGCAAAGATGGCAAAAAAAGGCACAAGATGTACAGGACAACTCAGGTTTTCAGGGGCAGCAGAAGTCACTGAACAGCTTGAGGTATTTTTCCGACATTCAGCTTGAAAGTGCACATTTAAAGTGACTCCTTTATTTGAACAGGAAAGGGAAAACAAAAAAAATTATTCAACTCTGAAGTCTAATGAGAGGGGACCATTAATGCACAGTTGCTAGCTGGCAAACATGACTGCACCTCACGAGATTACTAGGGCATACTCAGCTCTTGATTACCCACAGATTGCCTCGCTGGATTACAGGTTAATCATGCCACGTATACGGAAACAACAAAGTCGATTCTGTGTTAAGTCAACCAAAGTCCAGGAGGGTTTATTAGGTCTGGAGCAGCGCCACGCCGAGGCACGGAGCCAGCTCAGGGTTGGCACCACTGCCCAGCTACAAAACCTTCGCAGGAGATGGAGGCACTGCTGAGCGCAGAGCTCTCACCTACCTGCTCTCGGCACCAGGCTAGAGCTTGTAAGTTCTCAAGGACCCAGGAAATTTTACACCACGTGGAATTTCCGCATCTCTCCCGGTATCCACACAAGCCACTATCTGTGCTGTCCCAGCCCCCTTTCCACTGACCCTCGGAGAATGAGGACGTGGAAGAGAGGAAGGTATGTGCGCCACCGCCTACGATTGCATGCGAGGACTCCAGAGCTGCTGCAAATAAATAAATTAAACTCTTCACAGGAAGAAGTTCCTCAAGCAGGAGGACTGCCTCTTGTGAGCCAGCTTGCATGAGTTCTGACAGACAAGGGACACAAAAGTACACAGGTACGAACCTTCCAAAGTCAAATTTTAACCGAGCGGAAGACTGAGGTTTCTCAAGCAGCCTGTCGGACTGACTGACCGCTATGCTGAGCAAGCTGCAACTTGAAGATGGGGGTACCCAGGAGAGGTGTACAGAAGTGCAGGTGAAAAAGAGGAATCAAAAGCTGCCTATAGCGCTTACAGAGGACTAATTTTGATCCTCAGATCCGCTGAACCAACTGCAATTTCCCCTTTTACGTCTTCCCCCCAAAACAAAACATATTTTAAAAGGCTACAATCACATTTGCATGCCTTACAACATCTGGAAGTCTGAGTTCTCTTTTGGTTTTTCCCAACTGACATAACTGCAAGACCCCAAAATGCAAACAAGTGTGACTGCATGAAAATGACTAAACATTAACTACAGAGATAAGGAACAAAGTTCACAGGCACATAAAGCAGCCTGACACATTTGTTCCTAACATGATCCAAGCTCGCAGCAGCTGCTGCCACAAGGCATCGTGGAAGTGACTGTCACACCACAGGCAATTTCTGCTTTTTTGGTAGTTTAAAAGCAACAGCTGTCGCAGATAAACCCTAACAGAGCCTCACACCGGATAAAGAAATCGCTGCGTTTATTGTGAAGCAAATAGATGGTAGCAGGAACACAACATCCTAAGCGTTTTATGGGCTTGTGTTTTCTCAGCCCTTCTTACGGAAAGATACATGATGCTGTCAGCTATTACGTCTGGGGGGAAAAAACAGAAAATACAAAAAAAAACCCCAAGCAGCTAGTGTAACACGGACTGCCTTCCTACAGCGGGGTGGGAGAAGAGGAATGGCATTATTGCATACTCGTAACACAGCTTGCAACATCGCTCACAATACTGCAATGATTGCAAAAACTTTGCTGGGGATTTTGGGATTCACATTACTAAACACTTCATGTGTCAACCAGGCCACCTGCTCGTTGAGCAAGCAGTCCCTACCTCTAGATAATCTGCTCTTCAAAGAGCAGTCTCTGGACAGTCCCCTTTCGGTCCTTCCACCAAAACATCAACATCTTGCCCTTATCTCTGACTAACTTTGAAGAAAAGTCTGGCTCATCACCTTAACACACAGTTTGCGGTAGGTCAGAGTCAATATTTTTCAGCAGTTGACCAGGAGCAAGTTAAGAAGCAGCATCCAGGATGGATCCTCCTCGCAGGCATCAAGACCAGCATGCAAACGACCACACAGAAAGCTTGGTCAGGCAGCTGAAAATCTACCCCAAAATCTGAATTTTGGCCAGATTGGCTTCTTAAAATTGGCACACAGTCAGCACATCGCCACAGAGATGTGCCGCAGCAGCCTGACCTACAGCAGCATTTTAGCAAAACCCCTTTTGGTCCAGGCTGTTTATACCTGTAGAGGGAGTCTGCTCCTTCACAGGAGGTTTTGTCAGCTTAGTTACCAGCAGCAAACTCGCTCTGCTCTACAGCAAGGGCTTGAATCGCTGTCACAGGATAAAACTTCCCCACTGCCCGCGGCACGCCGGCAGCCGGCCAACGCGCACTGATTCAGCAGCCGCCAACGGCTCCCACAGATATTTTGTTGCCCTCACCCCCGCCCACGGCCCCCTAATCCAGCAGCCGCCAATGGCTCCCACAGATATTTTGTTGCCCTCTCCTCGAAGGGAAAGTCCCCGGGCTGAAGCGATGCCATAAGGAAAAGGGGCTCACAACGAGTGTTGTTTTAAGCAGCTTTCCGAGCCCACGCTATCTTCAAAAGCCAGGCAAAGTGTATGGAAAAAGGCAAACGGACTTTTGTGTTCTTATTTATTTCTTATTTTCCAAACGGGAGGGGAGAGGAGAAAGCACGGGGTAAAAAAATATCCCTCCTGCTTTCTAAACTTAGTATCTCTTTTCCATCGCTTCTTCCCTCCAAGCCCTAGTGCCGTGGAACCTCAACTTTAAAAGAGCAACAAAGAGGTATGGTCCCTGTGCTAGAAGATGTATTTCGTGCCACTTGCATGTCACCGTCAGGCATAAATTCGATTCCTGGTCTCTAAAGTTTTCCTTGCATTTTCACCTTAGGAAACACGTCCGTTCAGACCCTGGAGACAAAGCTGACCAAAAGTTTCACTGAGCTGAACACGGAAAGGAAACTACGCATTATTTCTAAAGCAGCATTAGAGTAAAAAAATATCACAACCCACTGCTCCGGCATAACATAGTGGCAGGCTCACATAAAACCCCCTTAAACCTGCAGGTTGTAAATTCCACTGGTTGTCTCTCTCAAGGTGACCTGCTCATCACTACACAGATAAAATCTGACAGGTCTGCAGAGTTTAAGCTCCCCCCAAGACACATCACTCACATTTCACTGCTAAAGTCCTACTTCAAATGCGCAGCCAGCACGATGGCAAAGTTTGGAAGCCCCAGAATTTGGGGGGGAAGAGACACGTTGCTTTCTACAGGAGACTTCGGTTTGCATCTGCCGATTTGGCCTCCTCTCTCCTGCCCTCAGCCGCAGAGTTAAGTGCAAAAAAGAACTGATAGGCTGACACCAAATATGCACATGTGCACCCCCGTGCAACGTTCCCCTGAACTCTAAAGCTGCCCTTTTCTTTTAAAGTTCAAAAAAAGGACTGGAGGAAAAAAAAAGTCATTGAAGTTTGCATAAAAGTGGTGATTTCTCCCCAGATTAGAGGGGAAATCCACAGAGTGAGCACTGCAAAACAAAGCACCTCGTGAAGGGGAACACGTGCACACATCAGACAAGAGCAAATTCCCCTATTCCTTCTCAATGTGCTGAGCTTAATTAGTCCTTCCATATAACTGCGAGAACGCGATTAGAATCTCCTGGGAGCCAAAACTCACCAACTCCTACCTCTTTGGTCTTGTGTAACAAAATTAAAAGTAAGAACAAAAGTAGTAATTCATGAGAAATAGGAAGCAGTCATCCGCGGCTGAAAATGATTCCTTTTAAAAACTGCTTAAAAACCTGGAACATCCCTCAGTGCAATTTCAGGCAAAAGACATGTCTGCACACTCCCCGCCTCAAGGGCATTGTTAGTGGGTTTATGTCCATGTTTAAATGAAGGAGAATTACAATCCCCATGCCTCAAATAAAGGCAACTTCGGTAAATAATGCAAGCTGCTCCTGCGATTACAACATTCGGAAAACTAAAAAACAGACAGACATTTTACTGTTTATTAAACTCACTGAAAACCATCAAAGAGGAAGCAGAGGACTGTTCTCCGGAGATCCTACTTAGGAAAAGGTTCACAGGACAGAGACTGTGCAGGACTCCCCAGGCTGCTGAAAGCACTGGGAACACGCAAACAGGTCACTCTGCTGCTTTTCTCAGACTGAGCAGCACAGCATTAGCCCCCAAAAGCACTGTTCTGCAGCGTGGTGTGGAAATCAGCACATAAAGGAAGTGAAATCGCCTCATCGAGAAGCAAACAGAGAAGCTTTCGGTGTATTCCACACAGCATAGCCACAGACACGCTCTCCAGAAACACCAACAGGCTCCATCTGCCTCATTCTGCAACCCTGCAAAAGCTGAATCGAGTTAACCAGTAGAAAAAGGCATCAGAACTTCTTGGCCAGATCAATTTAAAGATAAAGATAACTCACAGCATGGCACGCTCCCTGGTTTAGCCACTCTCCATTTTACAGCCTCACTGGTTACTGAAGCGTAACTGCAGCAGTCTGAGCGACCAGCTACTGCAGGGCCTTCTAGAGGCAGAAAATACAGCAACAGTTTGAAAAAACACTCTTTTTAAATGACTTTGTAACTGTCCAAGCCTCCAGAACTATTCTGAAATGTTACTTCTGGTTTGGGGAGGAGAAAATAAGAGAAGTCTTTGAGCCTAATTGCGCATGACCTTCATACATCTACCCACGTCCCTCCATCAGCCATTAGCAACACTGGGCACACAGGCAGGAAGGGCAACGTGGGAGGAGGACAAGAAATCCGATGGAGAAACTCGTTTGGATAAGGTAATTACAGAGTACAATTAAGCTTCCATTTCTGGCCAATCAACTTCTCAGCTCTCCCCTCTCACTCTGCAAATCTGACTGTTCAAGCAGCCAGAACACAACTCCCCAGCAGGTTGCACGTTCCCCCATTTGCTTTGCTTCTGTTCAAACTTTAGCTGCAGCTTTGCAGCACAATCCTCAGAACGGAAGACAGAGAGAAAAGGATTCCCCAGAGAGTTTCTGTGGAGGTCTCGCATTGGCCACAATCATCTTATTGTTTTGGAGCTTTTTTTTTTTTTTTAACCCATTTTGAACTTCTCTTAGGCGACTCTACTTTTAGATTTCAGCGCAAGAGCACGCAGGACCAAGGTTGACACTTTTACGACGCGTGCTTTATGCAACAAAAACCAAACACACACACACACGTCGCAGGCTTCAGCAAGTAAAGTTCTCCAAGCATATGATAAGTGTCACAGAGCTATTTAACTTATCAAAGGACATCTCAGCTGTTGATAAAGATGAGTTTCAACAGTTTTAGACCTATTCCAGGAGCATGATCTCAGCAGTATCCTCAGTATCACAAACCAGGAAGGAGATGAGGTGAGGTTAAATGCTGTTTTACAGCAAAGAGGCACGTTCCTTCTCTAAACTTGAGGGTGGCACAAGGAACACAGTCCCAAGAAGGTAAGTCAGGTCACAGGGTGCAGCCTCCTGCTATCAGTCACATCTTACACTCCCAGACACTGCACAGTCAAGTTTCATCTTCAATCCAGCTGGAGTTTGGTCTCAAGTACACCTATTATAAGGCTACTCCAGTACTTGCGTCCTTAACCCAACCAAGCCTCCAACTGTCAAGATTAAGCCTATTCAAGGCCAGTTCACCACGCAAGCTCTTTTGTCAACACAGCCTTTCCACGTTGATCTTGAGCCCTTGCTGGCCTTCTCCCTCCCCAGCACATTTACAGACAGCAAAATCACCCCACAGCCAGTCTCTGACGAATCTCATCGGAATTCTTGTCACAAATGGAAGTTACTAAGCGACCTGTCTGTATCCCAGCCACACCTGATAACCACGATGGGAGCCAAGACCTTGCCGTCTCACACATCATGTGAACGGGGAGAAAATTTAGCCAAAGGAATTCAGGATCCTCGCCAAAAAGGTAAAGCAAGAGAGAGGAGTGTAAAAAGCCACAGCTTACTTTTACAACAATAATTCACCACACAACTTCATGTCTTTTGCTCTGTGACCAATTCCGAAAGCACCAGTTTAAGAACACACATCTGGACTCTCGCTAGGAACTCTTCTGAGGCTTTAAAACTGGTTGCCACAGTAATACACTAGAAGGCCACATAAGCCCGGCGAGAAAGCTTTCCAGCTGGACGGACGACAATACGTGCCGTGCCTCTGCCTGATCACCACCAACACTTGGAGCTGCTTGCTGCTGACTAGCCAGCCAGCTGGCCTCATCCCCAAGCTTCGCCTTCTGGCAGGCTCACAGATTTCCAGTTCAGAGATTAAAATTGAGGGGAGCTACTCAAAGTAATGCTGCTCTGTTCACCATCCCCCACTGACAATCAGCCAGGCTACATTATGTCGGTTCTCTTTTCCAACTGCCATCAAGCCTCGATCATTTAAGAGTGTGGAATAAAAGCTGATGGAAATGGTCTTGCCTGAAGAATTACTTCCCCGAGTTAAATCATCTCACATAAAGCTTCATCAAGAAGAGCAATTAGCGATCATCTCCTGTACAGCCATGCTGGCATGGTGTATACCAGAACAAGCTTGACCTGTTTCAGCTGGACAGCAGAAGGTGCATTTGCACCCAAATATAACAACACTCAAAATGTTCAGCGGACACTTGAAAACAGGCTACTTACAGCACCACAAGAGTTGGGGCCTCCGTTGAAGAGCGTGCATGCAATCCTCACTACTTCCGCTTCCATCTTCCTCAAACCAGGGAATATGTCTGGATGGAGAGGATTACTCCAGGCAAACTCTTCGTACACCTTCAGAAAACAAAGGCCGAAAGTTAGCCTTGCAGGTGAAGCACCGCATCGTCAGTGCGGATTCGAGAAGTTGACGTGCACACTGTATAAGCAAATTAGCTGCATTTAGCTGTAAAAATACTGCAGATCTCCTTGGACTTAACTCCTGCTGCAAGCAAATACCACAAGCTGGGAAGCTACAGCTGAGGGGTAAAAAAATAAAAATAAAAAAATCCCTAAAATGTGTTTTTCTAGGGCATTCTGGCCTCTGGAGTGATTTTGTAACACAGTCATATTTCTTGTTGTAAAGGCAGGTTTAACCATTTAGCCATTTTTTTAAAAACACAATATATTTAGGTATTTTTTTAAAAATACAATATATGCCCTATGACTGCTCTACACAAATCAGCCAAAAAAAACTTTGCAGAAGTAGTTTTCTAGTTTACTGTCGAAGGGGAATCCTGAAGCAGCCAGAAAAGCTCAAATGCCCCCTCACCCATCACAACAAAACTGGCCACGGAATCCAGTATTTCACACTTGTTCTGCATCTGTGGAGTCACAGGATAAGGCTGGAACAGGCCAGTTCCGACCTCCTGCAGTCAAGATCAAAAAGCAGCTGCAGGGATTTTAAAAGAAATACAGAAGAATAAACCAGCGAATAATCAGCATAAACAGAGGGAATGTTTCCACAACACTCAAAGCAAGCCGAGGCTGCTCTAGAAAGGCTGCTCTGAGCTTTATGTTTCCTTAGAAGTAGGAAAGAAAACATCAAAATGCAGAAGAAAATAGCAATAGCAACCACCAAACACAGCTCATTACAGCTGTTATAAAAGCTGTTTCCAGAAGCAAGAAAGCTAGACTTCCCTTTTGAGCAAAAAAACCACTTGAAGTAGATATATTTGATAACAGACCTTTGGGCTGTTTAGGTTATTTCCCAAACATCTCAAAGAGAAAAGTTCCCAAGTAGGTAAACAGACCTAACAAAGGCACCGCTGAAGCACGCCAGCGGTCCATTGTTACAAGATTTGGACTGCATGGTAACGCCATAAAAACATTTTAAAATTTCTTTTTTGCTTAAACCAAGAGGAATTTTTCTCAGTGAAACTGTTCCAGTCCAAAAGTCACAGAGTCTCCCAGTAACAGGACAGCCAAGGGTGCTTTCACTCCAGCCTGCAGCAAAGGCATGTCTGTCGGGGGCTTGCTGCAGCTGATCTATGGCAATTTTCTGCTTCCTACCATTCCCTGAATTAGGTGGTCAGTACCAGTTTCCCATTCACTTATAACCAGCTTCTTATTTTTTTACTGAAAGCAACATCTTATCTGATTGGATCCTCATTATCTCTACACCCTGTTTTCACAGGGACAGTCCCTTGGCCAGCTTTACGCTGCCCAAAGGCTTTGCTACTAACTACCCTTCCACCTAGGCTCTGGCCTCGTAGTGAGGCAGTCTTCCTTACAGAGCTTCTCTATTCGTTTTGAAAGCTCAAACAGGGTTGAGGGGTTTCTGGTCACCCTGACGACACTAAGGATTAACCGGAGAGACGCAAAGTTAGGCTGCTTGAGCTTCACCTTCACTAGCAGGCGGGTGAGCTTCTCTTCCCCACTGTACACGGTCCCAGAGACCTTCCCATCCTGCCAACGTACGTCTCCTGAAAAAGAACAAAGAGCAGACTGCTTGTAAACACAGCCACTCTCAGAAAGCACACACAACCTCGTAGAAAAGTCCCCTCAGCACCTCCACAGACGAGGATTTCAGCTTTTGAGGTTCCCTTGATGGGGAAGAAGCACGATTTTTACGCTGCGCAGGCAGCTGCGTGCAATGCTAAGCCTCTGGCATCATGTATCCCACGAACTTAGCAAACTGCAAGTAAATGGTGACTGAAGAGTCAGCACATAAACAACATCTAGCTGCAGCAAGCAGTTATATTAAAATGTAATCCGCTTAATCCCCACTGAGTCTCCCCAAACTGCTGTCCAACCAACTGAACTCTAAAGTGGCTAACATTAAAGCCACTTTCAAAGAGCACCCATCGCCACCACAAGCTGAGAAGAGATGCAAAGGCCAGGCTTGTATTGCTAAAACTTACAGCGTGGGGTGCCTCAGTTAAATTTCACGCAAAACAATACGCTTCTAAGCTTTAAGAAATGAGAGCGGGCAGGTGCAAGAGCATCAGCAGCACACCCTGCAGAAAAGAGTTTCAACCAACACGATGGTGCTTAACTAAGTAACTTTCCACCTCGCAGCACCCCAGGAGTTTGGTTATTTGCTCTCTCTCATCAGCCTCCTTCAAAAAACTCAAATTCATCGGCTTTGCAAGCATCCATAAGGCATAGTCACAATTCAGCCCTCATTTTGAGCAACTTCGTGTGTGGGAAAGAGGGGGCCCACAGGAAAAGAGAAAAGAGAAGGAGAGCCTGGTGAAGGAAGGAAATAATCATTTGAGGGAAAACATAGGCTTTCTTTGTAAGCAGTACATAAAAGCAGAAAAGAAGGAAGCTGTTAAGGGACAGTCAGCTGCAAAACTGCTTGTTTCTGAACTCAGAGCAGATGCACTGTTCTAGTAGAAAGTTCAAGGCATTTCTCAAATTTGAGATAGGAGCAGGGGCAGTTACATCTTCTCCTCTGGACAGCAAGTCACTCAAATTTGGTCGTTAGGAGTAAGAGGCACACAAATCAGAGTGGAGATATCCACACAAGTGAGGCAATTCAAATGAAGTTTCAGTCACTGCTTATGCAGACTCAAGCCAGGAGAACATCATCATGACTTTGCCTTCCTCAAATGGCATTTTCTAAGTTTTTCTATGCCTTTGAAGGCATTTTCAAACCATTGTGACTTTGATTAAGCAAGACAGTCTTGGAAATTCCCTAAAACCCTGCTTGGAAGTTTGACGTATTTTATTATGATTATTCCTTTCGGCTTCACAGAAAACACATTTCTGGTAAAAGTTGAACATCAAGGCAACTGCTCAGAAATACAATCAAAAACGCATTCAAACAATTCTGTTCATATTTTTCTTCTCCTCAGTTCTCTCATAATCAGTTCAGAATTCTTGGGGAAGGAGCAGAATTCCAAAGTAAATACGCAAACACAGTATTAGAAGCCATGAATACTAAACTTCAAGAAGAAAATGGGACACAAATTTGCAACAAATAACACCAGGGAAGAACTATTTAAGATGAAACCATGAGCAGGAGTCATTAGAACTCATTTAGGAGACTAAGTCTAATGTCAAGCCTACAAAATAGACCCACCTCTGCTGCAGTAGACTCACATTCATACCTTTTGAGCTGTACTCTTTCATCTTCTCTAGTACTTCAGGCTGGCTCATGCCTTGTTCCGGCAGCGCTTTGATATAATCCTTTTCATCTTTCAGGAAGGACAAACTGGAAGTGACATCATTCAAGGCTTTATCAATCTGCTTTTGAATCTAAAAAAACAAAAGAAAACCCTATCAACAACGGTGCTGGCCATATCACAAATAGTTGTTGAGTGCATAAAAGACTGAACTCACTAACTACGTCCATACCAGTGAGCAGAACCGATGGGAACTTTTTCAGCTCTGTGACCACAAAGCAGAGCAGAGTACGCAGCAACACTCTTTCAATCCTCCTTCCTAACAACTCCTCCCTCCAAAAAGTGCCTGGAATAGAGTGCTGGCATATGCTAGTCTCCAAACCACACCAGGAACTACCTGTGGGAAGGGTAGCTGGCACGACACAGAGCTGTGCCAAATATGGGCGATGGCAGAGCAGCACTCGGGCCACTGCTTGGCTGCACCTCGTTTCACAGCACAGACACCACCACAATGTTCAGACAGAGCATATTCCATACTGGGTATCTACAAGGAGTGGGAGCTTTGAGTCCCTTCCTCAGTGCTTGAGAACACAAAGCTCAAAGGAAAAATAGTGCATTTTGATCCATAGAACCTTTTTAAGTCCCAGTTTTTAATATGCGGAAATCTTCAGATGCCTTATATTTTGTACCTTGTCTCCTCTGCCACCATACACACAGTTTAGGAACTCAAGAAAATAGTAAAAATAAAAAGAAATCTCCACTACAAACACAGTTAGAAACAATAAAGAAATCTCCACTACAGACACAGGAGATTTTCTCCTCACCCACACCTTACACTCAGGAGGTCCAGACTTCTCACAACACATGAGAAGGGAGGTGGCTAGTAGGTCGAGAGAGGTCCTCCTCCTCCTCCTCTCTCTGTGCTGGTGAGGCCACATCTGGAATATTGTGTCCAGTTCTGGGCCCCTTAGTTCAGGAGGGACAGAGAACTGCTTGATAGAGTCCAGCGCAGAGCCACAAAGATGATTAAGGGAGTGGAACATCTGTCTTGTGAGGATAGGCTGAAGGAGCTGGGTCTCTTCAGCTTATAAGAGACTGAGGGGTGACTAGTTTGACAAAGACGAGGCTGAGGGGGGACCTCATCATGCTCTACAAATACTTGAAAGGACATTGCAGAGAGGTTGGTGCTGGTCTCTTCTCACAGGGAATTGGGGACAGAACCAGGGGGAATGGTTTCAAGTTGCAACAGGGCAAGTTTAGGCTGGACATTAGGAAGCAATTCTTCACAGAAAAGAGTGGTCAGACCCTGGAACAGACTGCCCAGGGAGGGGGTTGAGTCGCCATCCCTGGATGTGTTCAAGTGTTGCTTAGATGGGGTGTTGGGTGATGTGGTTTAGGGGTGACCTTGTAGTGTAGGGTTAATGGTTGGACTCGATGATCCCAAGGGTCTTTTCCAGCCTGAACTGTTCTATGATTCTATGACTTCGTTAATATTTATAAACATGTAAAGGGTGAGGGTCAGGAGGACAGAGGCAGGTTCTTCTCAGTGATGTCCAATGACAGGACAAGGGGCAACAGGTACAAGCTGGAGCATAGGCGGTTCCACAAAAACATTAGGAAAAACTTTTTCACAGTGAGGGTGACAGAGCCCTGGCACAGGCTGCCCAGGGAGGTCGTGGAGTCTCCTTCTCTGGAGACATTCAAAACCTGCCTGGACCTACCTGTGCGACCTACTCTGGTGATCCTGCCTTGGCAGAGGTTTGGACTGGATAATCTTTCAAGGTCCCTTCCAACCCTTAACATTCTGTGATTCTTTCAGGCAACAGAGGTGTTGGGATATCATCAGCTTTCAAGACTTTTGGACATTGGAATGCTTCAAAGTCAAAGCCTCCTATAAGCAACTGATAGCTTATCAGATATCAGCCTACCAAAGAGCAGAAAGAGTACACACATAGTGCACACCAGGAGTTGTCTGGCACAGAAGAGCTTAACAGCACTAGCTCTAAGAAGATAAATCCATACAAAATAGGGCTTGTATACTAGGGCCCCAGAAGGTACCCTTTTCTACAAGACAGACAAAAAACACAAGCAGAAGAGAGCAAGTCATTCACTCATCTGAGCGAGGGCTACTCAAGTCAGAAGACAAAAGCTGGGGAGCTTAACAGGACATAGAAAGGGGATGCCAGTCCCTTCCAGAGGGCTGGTGAAGAAACTTGAAAACCACCTCCACGGCAAAAGGAAAAAGTTCCTCTTTGCTACTCTCATTTATTAAAATTGCCAAAACAGACCTGACCTCCCCAATCAATATGTAAATATGCCAACATGCCAAGCAGAAAGAAGCACTGTCAAATGTGATACCATCACTCACTAGGTAAAATAAACCAAGCTGTGCATTTCTCCATCATTAAGTTGTTAACATGGTAAAACATGCTGACATTTGTAATTTCATGTTTTTCTGCAATAAAAATAAAACCTCCCAAACACTAAAGCTTGTCTTTTAATGATTACACAAACTTCTGATATCTTTGTGCTATAATGTTAGCTATTACTTTTAAGTATCTGATCTCTAATCATGGCCAGTAGTCTGATTAAAAATACAATCCTTCCACGTTGCACAACAAAACACTCAGCTATCTCCCACTTGCTCAAGAACAAGACATCATTTTAGAAGAACAACTCAAGTTCAAGCCTGTTCCCTCCTTCCAAAAATGTATTTATTTTCTTTAAATCTAACAAAGAGGAAATGCTACCAGAAAATTCTGTAGCTACACACACTGACTGTTAGTTTTAAAAAAATAAAACAAGAAAGGAAAATGCAGCACCTCCATTATATGAGTGATACTACGACAAAAAGACTAGGTAGCGACTATATCTTTCATTAAACCAAGAGAAGACCTCCCAGATCTATATCCCTGGATCATTATGACCATAGTAACATGACAATAAAAATGCACAGAAATGTAAGTTATCTGAGAGACCTGGGTAATAGTAAGGAAAGTTGTTCAAATACTTACTATAGCCCCAACAAATGGCATTTTCCTCAGTAGTTTAAAGAACTGCTTTTTAGCTCGAGATGTTAAACCTGAAGAGAAAAAAAAGTCAGAAGTTAACCTAAGATGATTCAGTAAACTGGACCTGGAGCACAACAGTTCTAATACAGTCCATTTCTGTTCCAAGCTAAAGTAACACAGTGACCACGGGGACACAGTGAGACAGATGAGTATATCAAAGAGCAAGATTCAGAAGTGGCCCATGCTCACCCAGTCTCTTGCAGGAGGGTACCTATCTATGGGAATCAATAATTTGACTCCTTTTCTTACTCACAAGGGAATTAATTTGCACCCACATGTGGAATTTTACAACAAAGAGAGAAATTTTAGGATTTACTACAGGTAAGGTCCCGAACAAAAAGGGAAAATGCTTTTTGAAATTATTTTCTGCCTCTTCAAACCAGATTAGTACTACAGCTCAAAACCACTCAGCAACATGAAAGAGGCTCCCAGACCAAAAGAGGAAACAACAGTTCAGTCCTAACAGAACAACAATTCACCCTGTGTCTGGCCACCCAGTGTAGGCAACTCGTGATGCACCAGGTGATGACTCAGGGGAAGTGGACAGACAGAGGGAAGAGCAGAAATTCCACCACAGTCAAATACTGAAATGAGAGGAGTCACCGATGACAAACACCGGAAAACTCCCGGGACAGCTCTAAAGGCAGGAATGACAGCAGGATGATCCAGATGCTTTATAGCCACCAAAACCATCCTTCTGAGTCCTACAGGCACTTCCACCAAGAAATACCAAAACAAACTTTTAAAATCAACCATTGTAGGACTTGGCGATTTTAGCTACATTTCCCCCTCCACACTTCCTATATATTTCTCTTCATGTGTATTTTGAAAAAGCCACCTAAGGAGAGTAATTGCACTTTGGCTCGTTCTGTAGGAAATACCCATTAACACCGTGTTTTTACACATCTATTGCACATCTCGGTGTGCGTAACTTCCACAGAGTATATTGCAAACTCCTGAAAAATCCAGAGAATCTCATCAGATCTTGTAACAGCTAATCAGTACTTTGAAAATAAAATAATGTGCAACAGTACAAATACTAGCCAAGAAGTTAATGTAACCCTGTGCCAAGCAAAAGCTCCATAACATTTTGTTCCTTTCACAGATATTCCCATTATTCGGCTACTCCCATGTTTAAAAAGAAAAAAGGCTGACTGAGGAACAAAGAGGCACAAAAGTAAACATCAAGTTAAAAACTTGGCTATTTTTAACAAACTGCCACTGGAGTGTAACCCTAAGGCCTGCAGGAACTGAAAAGCACCGTGTTCTCCTCTGAGGACAAGACAGTCCTCTCTGACCATCACACAGTCAAAGAAAACTGCAAGTTTATCAAAAGATTTCACTGAAGAGCTGTCAATATCAGAAACTGCTCAAAACAGGAAGTTGCTGTGGGTTAAAAAAAAAAAAGAAGCCCAGGCAACAAAACCACAGGCAATTATCTTCAACATCCTGAGCATGAAACATGCCTCCAGCACCGAATCAAAACCACGACTCCTCCTCCAGCAGGAAGGGAAACAATCAAGAGCAAGAGCTATGCAGACACTTTGTATCAGTGTCAAAGTTCACAAGTACCCTGCTCTCAGCTAAATCTCCCCCGGTTTTGACCAAGAAGAGAGTTGCAACAAGTATATGGTTTAGCCAAAGCGAGAGGGAGACAAGCGGAAGGGAAGGAGAACGCAGGCACGTTCCAGGCTGGCTTACCACACCCTCTGAAGGAATGGGGGTGCTTCACCGATCAGACAGACCTTGATATTAATTTGGAGGAGGGTTTTGTTAATACTAGTCGACAGCAGGAACTGTCAATTAACAAGGGTTAGGCCTTGTTTCATCCTCTTTCCTTCCACTACTCAGAAATTACTCCATGCCCCCTTCTTTTCCCCCTAAACATACAAAATCCCTCATTTCAAATACTTACTCTCCGACTGGAAGAGGAAGCCATGCAGCCATACGCTCAGAAGCGTCGAAGAAAACGTCAACACGATCAGCTGCCAGGGTTCAAGTCCCTTGCACTGGGCATTCACTAGGCTCGTTGCTTTCTCCCAATACATCTGGAGGATTTCCTTGTGGGGAATAATGACATCCTGCACAAAGGAAAACGATATTGCGAAAAGTTCAAACACATACAAACAGGGCATCAAAAAGCCTATGAGTCTATTGTCTACTAAAAAAGGTGGTTTTCAGTATGCAGATGCCACACTTTCCATAATTTCTGTAAACAGAACAGGCAGGAGATAGTTGTCATTCACTTCAAGAGCCACCAATAAAAATACACATCTTGAGAGACTTCAGATACTCAGAGAGAAGTGCCAAGGGCAAAGGAGTAAGATATGCAAGCTTCACAGTCCCAGCACTCATCACTAGATCTTACCACAACCCAAGAGAAGCAATTCCATTAATATTTTTTCCAAGGAATTTTCAAGTGGTGCGTGAAGACTGAACTACTACAATACACCCATCAGAAAGAAGCCACCACTCGCCGGGTACCACCAAAACAGGTCTATTAAGTACCTAGGGCTGGATTTTTTAAAGAAGATGCAAGTACTCAGCAACTCTTTAAGATCTAATTATCATGCTCCATATAAAAGGAGGACAGAGAAGACAAACACTGCTGCTACCAAAATAAAACCAGAGAACTGTGATGTAATAACAATGTCAAACTAGCAATTATTGTCAGGACAGAGCCCAAATACCGCATTAATAGCTTCAAAGCAGACTCTCTTCAAGAGTCTCAGAAGAACAGGGTAAGGGAAAATGGTCGTGCACAGGGGAAAAAGGCCATTTCCCCCAGAACAGGTCTTTGGTACAATTCTCTGGCAAAAGGTTTCCAAAGATAAGAAGAATCCAGGTAACCACCTTGTTTGGAGCCTTGATCAAAAATAACGAGTCATGACCACAAATAATAAGCATGTGGGGTGTTTGTTGCCCATTATAGACTAAAGCTTGTGCATTTTACTTCACGTTTCTTAGAGCTTCCTCAGCCACCCCCAGAGCACTCTTCCAAACCCTCCTTCCCTTGTAACCCATCATCTAGCCTAGTTTTGCCAGGGAGCTCTCAGCGGGTGGATGAGATCTCCAACACTACGAAGATTCACTCTGCCAATGACAAAGTACGTGGAGCCTTTCAACAAATTTGTTACTAAACCTTGGAAGAAATACATCCTTGATAACTACGCTGTCATACTCATGGTGGGCTTAGAGCAACTCGCAAGGCCAGATATGGATAAATCACTACATCATTCAATTAAAAACTGCCAAAATTTTCCTTCTCAGTATCATCTCACTTCTGAGTCAAGCCAACAGCAGAAATAGTTTAAAATTATTTAAGCAACCCCAACATAAAGCTAAAACTTGTGGCAAAACAAGAGCATCCACCCATCACAAAGAGTCAGCATCATCCACATGCCAGCACGCTCTGAAGGGACACAAATTGAATGGGGAAAAAACAGGTCTCCGTGTTAAGGATGGCACTCAGCTACGAGAAGTCTAATTAGCACACATCTGCTCAGCAGAGGGCAATTTTAAAAATACACCAACTACTCCAGCCTTAAAAACAAGGCAGCCACATAAACCGTCGCAATTAGGCAATGTTCTCACCAATGCTCAGTCCTCCAATCCACCCATCACAAAGCTGATTTAACCTTAGAATTTAAGGGAAGAGGTACCTTTTTCAACTACCCAGAGGTGGTACTTAAGTCTCATTGAGTACATGTGATGTTCTCTGAAAAATCCCTGGAAAAGAGTGTTTAACCAACATGGACAACTTTGGTTCATTGCCTTGAACTTAGCGCCAGGACATCCTTCAGTTCTGGAACTGCACTTCAAGGATGGAAACTGAGCCACTAATGTGCTGGTGTGTCAACAGCTGCTCTCAACTAATGGCAGGAAAATGCTGTAGCATCAAATATGGAGTGAATTGTGCTTTTTTTTTTTCCCCTGAAGATGGACGATACTGCCATCTATAAGCCCAAAATCAAAACCAAATATGACCTTCTAGACAGAAGTCACTTAAATCAATGGCCAAGTTAAAATAAAATCTGGCAAGACGTTGATCTCGCTCTTGGAGAAAACTCTGGACAGAAGACCCTAGACGACTGCACTTTTTGTCATCACATGACACACTGCCCACTGAAACCACTGCGTACTGCAGCGTATCGGCTCTCTGCTGGGATGGGAAGAAAAAAAATGAAGTCATTTTTTTCTAGACTCCATCAATACCAGTGGTAAATCTTGCATCCCATCAGAAGGAGAAGCAAATCCACCCGCAAGGCCTCTCTTTTCCAAGACTTTATCGCACCAGTGCTCTCAGTTTGCAAATTCAGGCTACTCAGCTCCAAAACTCCAGGTGACCCTCAAAGTGCAGACATGAGGTCTGTGACACTACAGTAATCCCAGCTTGCTGCTGCACAAAAAGTATATTACCAGCCAGTTACCAGCAAAAACAGGCTCAGATGGATAACGAGAACACCTTGGGTGAACAAGCAACACCCACCTCTTTGTTCTTAGCCCAGCACACACACAAGGCACTGTGCCTCTGCTCACTTTACCGTTACTGAGATTGAAGACAAAATATTTTATCTTAAGTTCAACTCAGGCTAGAAACATGCACAGCTGCACTGATATATGGTAACTCGATGGTACATCCAAGTTTTGAACAGATTTTCACCATGTCAAGTGTAAGCCATTGAAGAATTTCTTTGGAGATCACTCCATGAAGAATACAGTTTGACAGAGTAAAGCTTTCTGTGTATTTCTCACTTTCTCCTTCTTCAGTCATTTCATACTCTGAAGTTTGAAGGATGAGATTGATCAATTTAGGAGGATACCAAACTAAAGAGGGACTTAAAAAAACAATGAGAATTAGCATAGAAGATAAGGTAGCAACAGAATACAATTCCTCAGCTCCCTGGCTAACCTCACAGTCAGTATTTTTAAAGTGACTCTTTGCCTCAAAGCATCCAGCAAGATATGAGAGAACGTCTACTTTCTGAATTACTAACTTAATCCTAGAGAAACTAAAGGGCATTTCAAAGCTTGCATTCAAGTGCCCTCGGGTTTTATTGCACCTAACACGATTGCAGCCCTACAACCCTTCCTGTTTTACCCGGAGGAGGCAGGGGTAACAAACAGCCTGCATTCAAGCCAAGCCATTTGGATCCCCACTCCTGCAGCAGCTGCTCCTAACACAGTAAAAAACAGCTGGTTTGGTTTTTTTCCTAATCCACTTCAGCCAAAAGAAACGCTCATCACATGCAATAAGAAGGGATGCACTTCTGGCTTTGCAGGATTACAGCATTCATTCACCCCTGCTATTACCATTTCCCCAGCTGGGCGAAGGACAAGCTAGCCTGATTTTAAGCCTGTCTACAGGACAGAATTTCACATAAAACAAAAACCTGCTTATTTGTGAAAGCATCAAAAAAGAGAAGTTTCCCTTCCTATTACAGGAGAGTAGACAAGCTGATTTTATTTCCTTAAGAGAACCTTCCCCTCCAAAAAAGCTTTGCAAGACACAGGATTATTTTAGAAGCAGTTTAAAAGCCTGACTTATAAGCACACTAAAAAGCATGAGGGAAAAACTCCCCACTGGAGGATTTGTTTTTAATTCTCAAAGCATTAAGACAGACCCAGGTATCAGATAAAACACTAAGTGATATAATTAGGATTGCAGTGTTCATTTGTACTGATATTAATGCACTCAGCAACCCAAGCAGTTTATATATTGAATTTTTAGCTCTGTGGATTAGGAATGCATCCTTAGTACTTTATTTCCAAAAGCCATTAGCTAGCTGAGCTGGTTCCAGGCATAGCGCTTCTGCCACTACAAAAGAGGACAAATTAACTGCAGTAATACTCTTCTGTCCCAGATGATAGAAAAGGGGGAGGAGGGGAATGCCAAAGCTAATGAGAGCACATTTTGCAGTTTTGCCAGAACAGCATTTCCTCAGCTGCAAGTGTTAGAACTCAAATAAGCCTTAAAAGAAAAAAAAAAGAAAAGAAAAAAAAGAGAGAAATAGGCAATAAACTGGCAGACCTCACACTTTTGTTAGAAAGTGCCTCCTGTTTCTGAAAACGTAAAGCAGAAGCACCGTTAAAGTTTACCTGTAGGAAGAGTAGAAGAAAAATGTTTTATCAGCTGAATCTTCCTTCCCCCAGGAGAGCATGTAAAGTGGGCCACAGAACAAAAGTAGCTTTTAAAGGCAAGTTTATTTTAAGCAATAGCATCAGTATTAGGTTCACTCTGAGAGTAGGAACTGCCAAGATAAAACCATTTCCTCAGCTTTTGCCTGAATCCGCACTTTTTCCCAAACCAGGGACCCTGTGATCACCTCCCTGTGCCCGAACCTTAATGTCTGTGTTTGCCATTTGTCTTTCCTCACTTTACCAGAGCCGATGGAGGAGGTGGCGTGTCACACAACTCGGCACGTAGTAAATCAAGGCAGACAGAGATTACTCATCGCAACTGCACGAGCTACGTTCGCTCTGTTATGGCAATGCACGGAATACAGGTATGGCCGCTGTAATTAAGGCCTGTGCTCCTATGCAACAAGTTTTTTTATTTTTCCCCCAGGAGAATGCTCTCTGGCTGAAAACAAACCGCACAAAACCAGCAATGACGCAGCAGCTTCATTCATTTATTTCTCTCCTAAGACAGACAGACTTCAATTAGCCATGCCCTAGCTAACACCTCGTTGCCTGTACAAGCTCTCACCACAAAAGGCGCATCTGACGAGCACAACGAGGCAGCATAACCGGCCTAGCTGCAGGCAGAGTACTGGACTTGCAGCCTTCAGCCAGCCAGCTTCCTGCTGTAGAGCCCGGGACTGGGATTGAGCAACCCCAGCTCGGAGGGTGCCAGTCGCTGCGTGTGCCTGCAGTGTTTTGATTAGCACCCCAGTAATGAATCGGCTCCTGCGTCCCCTCCCTGACACCCCCGGCGTGCCAAGTGTCTTTACGTAAGCACCAGGCAGACAATATTTGTTAGCTGGCTCCTAATTATAGCTCGAGGTTTGCACTGTGTGCTGGCCCCCTCACCAAAGGATGCAGGCACAGAGAGCAATACCAGACACTGCATCTCT